GGTTTACCATGTTGGCCAGGCTGGTTTCTAACTCCTGACCGCAGGTGATCTGCCTGCCTCATCCTCCCAAAGTGCTGGGATTACAGACATGAGCCACCACGCCCAACCAATAGCTTTTTAAAATAATTAAATATTCAAACATTTATTGCATGCTTGCTGTGTGCCAGACACTGTTCCAGAATACAATGGTGAAAAAGAACGCCTAAGTCCTGGCCTCACGAGGCTGACATTGGAGAAAGGGGGACTGAAAATAAATAAGTAAAATATTAAACGTATAACACAATTACAGGTAATAAGCCTAAGAAGAAAAATGAGGCTGATTAAAAAGAAGAGTTGAGATGGCAGGAAAGCCTATTTTAGGGAGAGGTCAGGGTAGGCCTCTCAGTTGAGGGGACACACGCGTGGCAGCTGAAGAAAGTGGGTGTGGGCCTCCCGCCGCCGGCACCGCCCCCTCCAGCCACGCCTCCCGCCCGGAAAGTTGCCCCGGGTGGCCCGCGGCCCCAACGCCCGCAGCCCGGCCCCCACCACTCCCCCGGGCGGCCGGCATTGAAAATTCACCCGCATTTTTGAAACGTGGCTTGGGGGTTTTCTCTCTTTTTCCTGCCCCGGCCTCCCTGCCCTCACGCCCGGTCTTCTTGACCCGCCGCGCTCCTGCCCGGGCAGACGCCCTGCGTCTCCATCAGCCCGCGGTTTCCCTGCAGCTGGCGGCACGGAGCTGCTCACGTTTTTATTTGTGCGCGTGGATGTGAGCGTTTCTGCTCCTGCGGCCCCGCTTCCAGGAAGCCCGCGGGCAGCCGGGGTCGCCTTCAGGGCCCCTCAGACCAGCTCCGCACCCGCCAGCCGGAGGGGTGCCTCTGGCCCTGGGAAAGCACCCCGGGGCCGTCGGGCTCTGGGAACTGGGAGGACTCCGTGTCCCTGAGTCCACCAGCGTCGACGCACGAATTAAAAAAAAAAAAAAGAAAAAAAAAAAAAAAAAGAAAGTGGGTGTGAACCATCTGGACAGTGGAGGAAGAACACTCCAGGAGAGGAAAGGGCATGTGCAAAGGTCGAGGCAGAAGTGCGCTCAGCATGTCTGAGGAACAGCGAGACTGCCTATGGATGCAGAGGGCGAGGGGCAGCACATCCTAGGAGCACAGAGAAGCGCCAAGACCCAGTTGGGTTAGCCCTGTAGGACAGGGTCCCGTATACAGCACAGGATGGGTCAGCATGAAGATGATGTGATCAGATTTATGATTAAAAACAATCATTCTGCGCCAGGCACAGTGACTCACGTCTGTAATCCCAGCACTTTGGGAGGCCAAGGTGAGGTCGGGAATTCGAGACCAGCCTGGCCAATATGGTGAAACGCCATCTCTACTGAAAATACAAAAATCTGCAGGGCATGGTGGTGAATGCCTGTAATCCCAGCTATTCGGGAGGCTGAGGCAGAAGAATCACTTGAACCCAGGAAGCAGAGGTTGCAGTGAGCTGAGATCACACCACTGCATCCCAGCCTGGTGACACAGCAAGACTCCATCTTGGAGGAAAAGACAAAACAAAACAATCACTCCGTCTGCCAGGTGAAGATCAGACTATGAAGGTGAAGAAGCCAGGCTGGAAACAGGAGGACTTGGGGGTAGGGGGAAAGGGTGAAGAGTAGCTGGTCCAGGAGATGACTTGAAGCCAGATAAATATGACCTGCAGGTGACGCAGGAGTCCATGATGACTTCCAAGTTTCTGACCAAGCAGCCAAGTGGATGGTGGAGTCATTTATTGAAACAGGGAAAAGGGGGAGGAAGGGTTTGGGGGAGAAAGCCAAAGCCACATTTCGGACATGTGAAGTGTGAGATGCTCGTGGGATATCCAGCAAAGGTGACAGGTAGGTAGTTGGATAGGATTCTGCAGCTCCGGGAGCCATCAGCATGGAGACCCATGTGGACAAGCTTTACTCAGTGATTTCACTGAAAGTCCTGGGACCCGGTGTAATTGCCCAGGGCATGGGTTCTTAGTGGTGTCATACTGCCCCCTAGCGGCTAGTAGAAATTACAGTCTATTTTTGGTAGTCAGTAATAGGGTGCTACTGGCATTAGAAGGAAGGGATAGGGAGGGACTCTAGATGTCCTGCAATCTCTCATCTAATGAAGAGTTATTCTAAATCCTGGATTTTTAAAAACCCTGAATAACATTCATGTAAATAAGAAAAATCTATTTATGGCCAGGCGCAGTGGCTCACGCCTGTAATCCCAGCACTTTGGGAGGCCTAGGTGGGCTGATCATGAGGTCAAGAGATTGAGACCATCCTAGCCAACATGGTGAAAACCCATCTCTACTAAGATACAAAAATATGCACATGGTGGCACGCGCCTGTAATCCCAGCTACTTGGGAGGCTGAGGCAGGAGAACTGCTTGAACCCAGAAGCGGAGGTTGCAGGGAGCAGAGATGGCGCCACTGCACTCCAGCCTGGTGCCTGGCAACAGAGGAAGACTCTGTCTCAAAAAAAAAAAAAAAAAAAAAGAAAGAAAGAAAGAAAAGAAAAATCTATTTATAATAATCTGAGCCTAGAACTTAACTCTATTTTCCATATAAACCCAAACAATTATTTTTTGTATCAAATTTTTCCATAAATCAACCCATCCTGTCACATATCATTTCTTTTTGTTCAGAATTTTACCAAGAGATTTTTACTATTTCAGAACTTTATGTTACTTTGATTCTGCCAAAACAACACACCTGAATCAGTCCACACTGCTGATTGCTGCTCTAGGCAGAAGTACACATGTTCAAATATTTTATACATGTAGTTGTATAAAAGCATTTGAATACCGAAATGCACATTATGTTATTACAAATTATTTTCCTTTAATTTCCCTTTATATTACAACCATGGCATAATACTGTGGGGTGTTTTGTTTGAGACAGAGTCTTGCTCTGTCACCCAGGCTGGAGTGCAAATGGTACAACCTTGGCTCACTGCAACCTCTGCCTCCCAAGCTTAAGCCAGCCTCCCATCTCAGCCTCCTGAGTAGCTGGGACTACAGGTGTGCGCCACCACGCCTGGCTGATTTTTGTATTTTTTGTAAAGATGGGGTCTTGCCACGTTGTCCAGGCTGATCTCAAACTCCTAGGCTCAAGCAATCCTCCCACCTCGGCCACCCAAAGTGCCGGGATTACAGATGTGAGATACTGCACCTGGCCAATACTGTTTTTAATTAGGCACTCACGGAAGGGTGTAAAGCTGTCACTTCCATCTCAGCGCAGATGAGCTGTAAGAGGCAGGTGCTAGGCTAAAAGGGTGAGAACTATTAAGGTAAAGAGTGAATACAGATAAAGAAAAGCCATGGTGAGCACTGGGGCCCTCCAAAAATTTAGACTGGGAGAAGGAAGAGACAAGGGAAGAGACTGAGGAGAAGACACCATGGGGCAAAAGGAGAGAAAAGGGAGGTCACCACTGTTACAGGAAGGCAAGCAGACCAGGCAGGAGAGAACAATGCAGCCAGGGGAGGAGATGTGGCCGTGGGAAGAGTAGTTCTCCTCTGATTGTTTCTATCAATAAGTGACACCATCAGCTGAGAGGCAGAGTGTGAGGTAATGGTGTAGGGCTGAGGGTAAAGAAAAGGCATGTTTTCCCTTCAGACCATGGATGACAAGTACCTCCAGAAATCTGGGAGGACCACTGGGCATTGCTTAAGGTGCCCTTAAGACCTGAGCTCCTCAACTCAAGGGGGACCAGACAGCTCAGGTCCCCCTCCAGCAGACAGAGTTCTGCACTAGGTAAAAGGAGCACAAGAGAGAGGCAGCGGGCTCCTTGGCAAGAGGAAGAAGAGTGCATCCAGCGACGGCGTGTGGGATGTGAGTGAGGCAACAGGGCAGTGTGGCGTGGGTGGATGGGCAGAGCATCCATGAGTCCAGAGCACATGCCAGCCACGAAAACCTCCAGAAGGATGATGTGGTGGTATCACATGAGGAAAGCTGAATATGCACTGCAGATGAGAGAATAGTATTGAAGCAGTGTTTGTTTTCTGATTTTGATAACTATGTCCTGGTAATATTAAAAATATTCTGTTTCTCATGAAATAGATGCTGAAGTATTTAGTGGTAGAGGAACATGAACACTCCTACTTACTCTCAAATGGCTCTAAAAAAATATGCACTGTCAGGCGGGGCACGGTGGCTCATGCCTGTAATCCCAGCACTTTGGGAGGCTGAGGCAGGCAGATCACTAGGTCAGGAGATCAAGATCATCCTAGCTAACACACTGAAACCCCATCTCTACTAAAACTACAAAAAAAAAAACACAACAATTTAACCGGGTGTGGTGGCATGCACCTATAGACCCGGCTACAGGGGATGATGGTCAGGAGATCGAGACCATTCTGGCCAACAGTTCCACCCCGTCTCTACTAAAAATACAAAAATTAACTGGGCATGGTGGTGGGCACTTGTAATCCCAGCTACTAGGGAGGCTGAGGCAGGAGAATCGCTTGAACCAGGTAGTCAGAGGTTGCAGTGAGCCAAGATCGCACCACTGCACTCCAGCCTGGTGGACACAGCGAGACTCCATCTTAAAAAAAAAAAAAAAAAAAAAATACACACTGTCTATAAATATACACAGAAGGAGAATAAACAGGAAATGATGTTCACCAATAAAAACAACTGGTGAACCTGAGTGAAGGCCAGCAAAGGTGTATGGGGTTCATCGTGCTATTCTTGTAACTTCTGTGAGCTTGATATTACATAAAGCAAAAAGTTACAAAAACAATAACAAGACACCACTGTAGGAGCAGACCCAGTCGCCTATGCTTCTTCCTCTTTTAAAAGGAGACAAATGGGAACTGAAATAAGCCCCCCCCAAAAAAAGGCTTTCCAAAGCCCAGAGCAAACTCCACCCTAGCAAGGCTGAACAGGTGGCGGGGTCTCCTCCAGACTCCGTTTCTTGGCCGGAACCAAGGCTCATCCTTCCACCCTGCACGGCCAGCCCGCCCTCACCCAGCCTCGTCACCACATGCTGAGTGGTTCCTACCTGGTCCTGTGTGTTTGAAGATAAAGTTTTCATCATCAAACTTCTTCTTGTTAATGGACTTGCCCCTGGTGCCACTGTGGTTTGTGAAATCACTGCCCTGGCACATGAACTGGGGGATGATGCGGTGGAAGCTGCTTCCCTTGAAACCAAGTCCTTTACATGGGTGCACAGGTAACGAAAATTCTCTGGGGTTGAGAAAGGGAAAAGTGCTAAGGTAAGAATATCAAACTAGATAATTAAAACTCCAAGCTCTCTGTAACACACTATATCTACAAAAATAAAAATAAATAGTTGGGTCCCAGGCACGGTGGCTCATGACTATAATCCTAGCACTTTGGGAGGCCAAGGTGGGTGGATCACCTGAGGTCGGCAGTTCGAGACCAGCCTAGCCAATATGGTGAAACCCCATCTCTACTAAAAATATAGAAATTAGCTGGGTATGGTGGTGCACACCTATAATTTCAGCTACTGGGGAAGCTGAGGCAGGAGACTTGCTTGAACCCGGGAGGCAGAGACTGCAGTGAGCCAAGTTCATGCTACTGCACTCCAGCCTGGGTGGCAGAGCCAGACTCTGTCTTAAAAAAAAAAAAAAAATAGTTGGGCATGGTGGCATGTACCTGTAGTCGCAGCTACTGGGAGGCTGTGATGGGAGACTCTCTTAATCTCAGGAGGTTGAGGCTGCAGTGAGCCAGGTTCCAGCCAATGCACTCCAGCCTCAGTTTCTTTATTGCAGTCAACAAAAGATGACTCCATGCAGCTCAGCCCCAGGGCCCCTGCTTGGAGCCCATGAGAGCCTGTGAGGGCAGGAGGTCGCCCTCCTGATTCCAAGGGAGGACACATTTCTGCAGCCCGCCTGTGTGGGGGCCCAAACTCCAACTCTCCAAATCTAAAAAGGCACATAGTACCTTCATTTAAACTAAATGCTTAAGTGTGGAAGTGGCACATAAATAGATTGAACAGATTAGGAGAAGAGAAGAGAAAGTCCAGAATAGACTGAGATATGTATGGAAATTCAGCATTTCAGCTGGGCATGGTGGCTCACATCTGTAATCTCAGTTCTTGGGGAGGCTAAGGAAGGAGGACTGCCAGAGCACAGGAGTTGGAGACCAGCCTGGACAACGAGGCAAGCCCTTATCTCTATTAAAATATGTATATAAAGAAAGGAATTCAGTATTTCACAAAGCTTGGCATCTTAAATCACTGGGGTAAAGATGGACTTTCTATAAACTGGTCTTAGGACAACTGAAAAAAATGTGGACTCCCCTGCCCAATTGTGCTAGTCAGCCATGACCTGAGAAGGTATATAGTGACCAGGAGCTCAAATTCCCACAGACAAAGGTCTAGGTCACCTCACCAGCTAAGCCATTTAGATGATCAGAGGGGCCAGCTGAAATGAGGATGAGAGGCATCTGAAATGGATAACAGAGGAGGGAGACCAGGCATGGTGGCTCACACCTGTAATCCCAGCACTCTGGGAGGCCAAGGCAGGTGGATCATCTGAGGTCAGGAGTTTGAGACCAGCCTGGCCAACATGGTGAAACCCCATTTCTAGTAAAAATACAAAAATTACCCAGGCATGGTGGCGGGTGCCTATAATCCCAGTTACTTGGGAGGCTGAGGCAGGAGAATCACTTGAACCTGGGAGGCAGAGGTTGCAGTGAGCCAAGATTGCGTCATTGCACTCAAGCCTGGGTGACAAGAGCAGACTCCATCTCAAAAAAAAAAAAAAAAAAAAAAAAGACAGTAGAGGAGGAAGATGATGAGTATCATTTGCAGTTCTGGGACCAACAGCAACAATGGGGACCAGAGTTCATCCCACTATCTTTCCTCTAATTTCCCTAGAAAAAGAGATTAACCAGAACCCTGAAGGAGCTGACCTCAAGTGAAGTGAACTTATAGGAAGCAAGTGGATCTGAGAGATACAATGGGAGGAGCACAGTGGATGCTGGGGTATGCCAATCCCTGCAAGACCACAACTGTCAATTCCCTCAGCATCCAGGAGTGTTGGGTATCACCAGCCCCAGGATGAGACTCATCCCAGAAAATGCCCTTGGCTAAAGGGAGCTGCCTCACCAACGTTCACACCACTCCTGGGAATCAGCCAGAATTGGTGACTGGTCCACAGGAGGACACAAGGGCCTGATCCCCTGGCCTTAGTTCAGGATAACTCTGAAGGGATATCCACACTCCAAAACTCCCCCTGGGATCAGCTGGGGCATCTGTGTGACTACAGGCAGTTCTATAACTCCGTCTGCCCAATCTGCTTCCCTCATCTGCAGGAGTTGTTCCTGAGATCACTCCCCAACAAACTTCCTGCATGCAAATCTCTACGGGTGTTTCCCAGAAAAAACTTAACCAAAAACAGCCAAAAACTTAAAAAAGTCAATAGAGACATTGCAATAAAAGCCCAAATAATTAAAATAGTTAAATGAATGTTGCCTCCGGCAGGGTAGAAAAATGGTGTTGGGGGAACAGAAAAATGTTTTATTATAGAATGATTTTCTTTAAACTATATGCAATTATGACTTAGAAACATTTTATAAAGCTAGATTAAGACAAAAAAATATTATAGGTAAAAAAGATCATTATGAATATTTAAGAAAAAAGGGGATGGCCAGGTGCAGTGGCTCACGCCTGTGATCCCAGCACTTTGGGAGGCTGAGGTGGGCAGATCATGAGGTCAAGAGATCAAGACCATCCTGGCCAACATGGTGAAACCCCGTCTCTACTAAAAAATACAAAAATTAGCTGAGTGTGGTGGCAGGTGCCTGTAGTCCCAGCTACTAGGGAGGCTGAGGCAGGAGAATTGCTTGAACCCAGGAGGAGGAGATTGCAGTGAGCCAAGATTGCGCCATTGCACTCCAGCCTGGCGCCTGGCAACAGAGCAAGGCTCTCACTCAAAAAGTCAAAAAAAAAAAAAAAAGAAAGAAAGAAAAAAGGAAAATACAACTGTCAATAGTAACTACCTCTGGGAGATGGGCCAAATAGTAAGAAGAAAAAAATTTAGCTTTTGATTGATACTCTTAAAAATAGTACTTTTCGGGCCGGGCGCGGTGGCTCACGCCTGTAATCCCAGCACTTTGGGAGGCTGAGGCGGGTGGATCACGAGGTCAAGAGATCGAGACCATCCTGGTCAACATGGTGAAACCCCATCTCTACTAAAACTACAAAAAATTAGCTGGGCATGGTGGCGCGTGCCTGTAATCCCAGCTTCTCAGGAGGCTGAGGCAGGAGAATTGCTTGAACCCAGGAGGCGGAGGTTGCGGTGAGCCGAGATCGCACCATTGCACTCCAGTCTGGGTAACAAGAGCGAAACTCCGTCTCAAAAAAAAAAAAAAAAAATAGTACTTTTCTGGCTGGGTGAGGTCACTCATGTCTATAATCCCAGCATTTTGGGAGACTGAAGTGAGAGAATCATTTGAGACCAGTTCAAGATCAGATTGGACAACATGGCAAAACCCCACCATCTCTAAAAAAAAATACAAAAATTAGTTGGGCAACATAGTGAAACCTCCATCTGTATAAAAAATTGGCTGGGCATGGTGGGGCATGCCTGTGGTCCCAGCTACATTGGAGGCTGACCTGGGAGGATCACTTGAGCCTGGAAAGTTGAAGCTGCAGTGAGCTGTGATCACACCACTGCACTCCAGCCTGGACAATAGAACTAGACCCTGTCTCAAAGAAAAAAAAATGGCATTTTTCCAGTGAAGACACTTGGCAAACAACTGCTTGACCAAGTCAACAAAGTTAACTTCACGAACATCTGAACTGACATCATGTACTTCCTCATACAATGCACTAACAACACTGCTTCTGTGCTACTGCTGCCAAAACATATAACCTAAATCTAATTGTGAGGAAGTACTAGGCAAATACAAACTGAGAAGCACCCTTAAACACAACTGGCCTATTCTCTTCAAAGATGTCAAGATCAAAAAAGGCAATGAAATTAACAAACTGTTTCTAATAAAAGGAGACTAGGCCGGGGCGCAGTGGCTCACCCTTGTAATCCCAGCACTTTGGGAGGCTGAGGCAGGCGGATCATGAGGTCAGGAGTTTAAGACCAGCCTGGCCAGCATAGTGAAACCCCATCTCTACTAAAAACACAACTAGCCGGGCGTGGTGGTGGATGCCTGTAGTCCCAGCTACTCGAGAGGCTGAGGCAGGAGAATCGCTTGAACCCGGGAGGCGGAGGTTGCAGTGAGCCGAGATTGTGCGACTTCACTCCAGCCTGGGCGATAATGTGAGACTCCATCTCAACAACAAAAAAAGGAGACTAAAGAGACTCAACAACGAAATAAATTTGGGAATCCTTGTCAGGGAAGAAAAATTACTATAAAGAACGATATTGGGACAAGTGATAAATCTGAATATGGCTCATCAAAGTACTTGATGTCACATTTTATAATTTTGATAGTTGTACTCTATTATGCCAGGGAATATTCTGGTTCTTAGGAAATATATACGGAATTTAGGAGTCAAGGTGCATGGTCTTCAATTTCTCAAGTGGAACAGGGGAAAAATACATATATGCATCTGTGTATAATGTACATAAAGAAAATGATAAAGCATACAGGGCACAAAGAGGAAATTAATGAGTAGGTAAAGGATACATAAGAGTTCCTCTAAATATTCTTTTTTTTTCTTGTTTTTTTTTTCCTTGATTTTTTTTTTTTCTGCCAAGGCCTTGCTCTGTTGCCCAGACTGGCGTGCAGTGGTGCAATGATGGCTCACTGCAGCTTCAACCTCCTGGGCTCAAGCCATCCTCCTGTCTCAGCCTCTCAAATAGCTAGAACTATAGGCACATGCCACTATACCTGTCTAATGTTGTATTTTTTGTAGAGATGGCATCTTGCTGTGCTGCCCAGGCTGATCTCAAACTCCTGGACTCAAGTGATCCTCCAGCCATGGCCTCCTAAAGTGTTGAGATTACAGGTGTGAGCCACTGCACCTGGCCCATTGAAATATTCTTACAGAATTCTTATTCTATATATCTGTAAGTTTGAAAAGATATCCAAATAAAATTACAAAACAAAACAATAAAACCAAACCAGAGGATAAAACTGTTTATAACTTTTAGTTACCTACTCTTTCTAATGGCTCTAAGCCTTTATAGAGCTTCAAAAATGCCTGCTGTGCCTCATTTGTTACTAGATGCTGGGATATGAGATGCCTCAGGTGAAAAGTGTTAAGGGCCCAGGACTCCAGATAGCTTCCTCTCCATCCTGTTCAGCCACCACTGTCCTCACCTCAGTGCCCTGCTTACCTGCTGTCATGGGCATGACGTCAGAATGCAGGAGCATCCGGATGAGGCCGGCCAGCTTGTTCCCAATCCATGTACACCTGAAGATTTGACCAGGCCTTTTTAGTGGCAGGCTCTCTCTAGGTGCAAAAGAAATTGCTAGTTACAGACAGCTCCCTGACACCCCAAATAGGAGGGTGAGTATTCTAGGCACCCACCCAGAACACAACTCCAGTGAGCAGGCTGGAGCAAGTGCTAACAGGGAAGGCCTTGGGCCTGACAGGGCTGCAGGAGGCAGAAGCCCCGGCTGTAGCACCAGCTGGATGCCCAGAGACAGGAGACCTCAGCACTGGCTAACCTGAGCCCCACACATGAGTATGTTACCTCATCAGGCTCACCCTCAGAAGTATCAGTTTCCTCCTCCTGCCCCGCAGTCACAGAACAGCATTTTTCTGGCCCATGATCAACAACTCTCAAATCTTCAAATGCCAGTTCCAATCTACCCACCGTCTTCCAATTAAACGAAGCCATCCATGTCCCACCACCTCTTCCCTCTTCGCTTGGCCCTGCACATACACGGGCTGGCTACATAAAAGCAAGGGGGCAGCCCTCTTGCTCAGGCCTAAGCACTCAGAAGATAGCGGAGGAGGCTGGGTCATTTTGCTTTGTGCTCCAGGATAAGATTGGCTAGAGGATAAATACAACATTCAATACAAACCCTCCCATTTGTGAGGTAGAGAAAACTCTATTGTTTTTGACCTCTTTGTAGTTTGAATTAATAGTTCAACATACAGGTATTGAGCTATCAGGCCAGGCACTGGGATTCTTAAATAAATGGATATAGTTGGGTGGGTGGCTCACTCTATAATCCCAGCACTTTGGGAGGCCCAGTGCTGGGATTGAGGAATGATTGAGCCCAGGAGTTCTGAGATCAATCTGGGCAACAAAATAAGACCCTGTCTCTACAAAATAAAAAATGAAAAATTTAGCTGGGTATGGCGGCGTGCCTGTACTTCCAAGTACTTGAGAGGCTAGAGCAGGAGGATCACTTGAGCCTGGGAAGTCAGAGCTGCAGTGAACTGTGATGGCACCACTGCACTCCAGCCTAGGCAACAGAGCAAGACCCTGACTCAAAAAATAAAAAATAAATAGATAGGCAGTTAGATAGATATGGCCCCTGCTCTTGAGGAACTGGCCTGGCCACTGGGGGAGGGATGTCCACAATGTAAGAGGCACACAGATCCTGGAGCTCTATAGCCTTAGTTCAGACCTCAGCTCCACCACTTATGAACTGTGTAACACTGGACAAGGTACTGACCTCACTGCGCCCCAGAGCTTCCTCACCTAGAACTAGGGATAACAAAGTACTTATCGGCCTGGCGTTAGCTCATGCCTATAATTCCAGCACTTTGGGAGGCCTAGGCGAGCGGATTACCTGAGGTCAGGAGTTTGAGACTAGCCTGACCAACATGGAGAGACCCCGTCTCTAATAAACACACAAAATTAGCTGGGCATGGTGGCGCATGCCTGTATTCCCAGCTACTCAGGAGGCTAAGGCAAGAGAATCACTTGAACCTGGGAGGCGGAGGTTGCGGTGTGCCAAGATTGTGCCATTGCACTCCAGCCTGGGCAACAAGAATGAAACTCCATCTCAAAATAAATAAATAAATAAAATATTAGTAGAGCACTTAGAACAGTGCCTGGCACAGAGTAAGCAATATTTAGCCATTTGTTAAATAAGTAATTTCAATATAATCCAGTCACATTTCTATATAATTACATTTCAATATAATGCCAGGACAGAGGGTGCCAGAGGAACCCAGAGGCCATGGGAGCCCAGAGTGATACTTACCTCACTCACTGCAGGATTCAGAAAAGCTTCCTGGAGAAGGTGGTAAATGGGCTAAACTATGAGAAATGGGCAGGCATTAGCTACATAAAATAAGTTGGAAAGGACACTGCAGGCAGAGAAATGACTTACATCAAAACAGAGATTTACAGGTTATCTACAAACTCTTTTTTTTTTTTTTTTTTTTTTTT